AAAAATTTGGTCCCAATCAAAATCCGCAGAAGTTGGTTCATCATTTCTTTTGAAATGCCGCAGGGGTGATCCTGAAGCACATGGGGACCAAACATGGACAAACACTTTCTTTGGATCTCGATACTGGTTCAAATACTGAGACACTTGAGTCTGAGTACTCTTGGCTTCCATGTCATGAGTAATACCCCTGTAGGGGATTCCCAAACGTTTGGCTTCACACGCAAGTGCAGACCCCCTTTCTCAACAAACTTCCACAAAGACTATGTTCCTATGACCCTGCGTCAGGCTTGACAATGACCCCTCGATCACTTCGAAACCAGCGCACGACCTATGGTACTCAAATGCCGAGGTGCCCAAGCACTTCGTCAACAGGTCAGAGGGATTGATTGTTGGTCCCTTTCAGGAAACTAAGCTCTAGGCTACCACGGTTGACCTGTTCCTTAATCCACTCAAGCTTGACCCCCAGATGACGCGACTTCGTTGGTACGTCCAGGTTCCTAAGCAGTTTCAAGGAGCCCTCACTGTCTGAATACAGCACTCCCGACATCCTCCTAATAGTTCGCATCACCCGTCCTACGAATCTTCCAACAACTACCATTTCCCGTGCTACGGCTTGCAAAGCGTAGAGTTCTGATTCCATACTAGATAGGCTCACTAGCTGTTGGTGTCGTGACAAAGTTTTGATCAAACAGCCGCGGAAGGTAGTAACCCCCCCTGCTACACCCTTTCGGTACTCTTCAAAGGAGCATGTGATGCATCAGAAAAAGATACTAGCTTATCTTCCACGTTGTCTGCAAGTGGATGACAAGTGGTCTCTCGTGGTAGGATCCCTGCTGGCAATCGCAAAACCACTCCCTGGTCCTGGATGAGGAAACGCAGCACAGCTCTGAGCGCCTTCTCAATATTTTCGATGGGCTTTGATTGTTGGATGGCCAGAAGTCCCACCCACGCCCTGATATCTTGGCGCGTTTGAGCGAACCACGAAAACTTCCCAAAGGCAGAACGGAACCTACTGTAGGCTTCAGGGGTAAGTTCCTTGCCTACCTGGTCCAACATGGAAGTGATATCTGGCGCACTACGACTACCAGCCTTCAAACCCAAAAAAACCCAAAAGTGGTTTTCAGATAATTTGGTGCACAGGATAGCCGCGTGTGCACGCGATGTCCCTTCATCAAGATCACCGCCACCACCACCACCATCATCATCATCATCATGGTCATTACCGTCATCATCATCATCATCATCATCACCATCCCCACCATTGTCATCATCATGATCGTTGTCATCATCGTCACGATTATCTTCTTCATGCTCATCACCATCATCATTACCATCAGGATCATCATCACGACAGTGTGATCATCATGACCTTCACCATAATCAACATCATCATCCTGATCATTGTCATCACGACCATGATCATTATCACCAACATGACCGTCATCATGATCATCATGGTCATTATCGGGGCGATCGTTATCTCTGTCATCGTGATCATTTTCACCTTCAAGTTGATCACCAAAATCATCATTGTGGTCATCACCACCATGACCATCAACATCATCATCTGAATCATCTGAATCATCTGAATCATCTGAATCATCATCATCATCATCCGCACCACCACCACCATCATCAACTTCATCATCGCGATCATTATCACAATGATGAGTGACTTTCACGATCATCATTTTGACTTCCACCATGATGATCATCCACAACATCATTTTTCCAAAACATCATGAAAGTATCACCGTCACGAAGCAATCATGTCTACCAACAGAACAATCACAACCGTCAGCATCATCATGATTTCCATCATCATCACTATCATCCTCGTCCTTCTATGACCATCATTCATCATTCATGAGTTATCATTCATCATTCATCATGCATCATTATCATCATCGTCGTCATTGTCATCGACGTCATCGTCATCATCATCATCATCATCATCATATATCATAATCATCATCATCGTGATCCACGTTTGAGCAGTGTGGAAAGCAATATACGCATATACGGGAACCGCACAGTGTCTACGCAATGTACAGTACTTGTTAGTGTTCATGTACAGATGGTTGATCGCGTGATTCATTTCATCCACTGGGCCATTGTGGCTCAAAACTTGGTAGTATCGCTCCAGAGAAAAGGCGCCTTGCTGCTCCTTGGTAGGTCGGCAAGTCTTTAGTTAAGGCTTCAGACTGGTATCTAGGGCCCCTGACAGGGGGGATTGCTACCGCACCCCCTTGCGTTCTTTAGTCCAAAGCTTAAAAGGTGCATGCATGTGCGCCGTGGAGTCTCTGTGCCTGTGTGCGTGAGTCTCGTTTCCTGTGCGCAGATGATTCTGGGATGCAGTGCGCAAAATGAGCCAGGTTCATGAGTGTAGGTGAGCCCTGTTGCCGTGGGTTTGCCTGTTTGGAGATCTTCCAGGTTGAACACCGGGAAATGTTTCGTGCCCCTGTCACCTTTCCGTACGGGTTCTGGCGACCGAACGCTTCAACGGAACCGGTGAAAAAGGGTCGAAACTGACACAAACACATTGGTTGAAATTGTGTGATCTTTGGGA